AGCATCTTGTAGTCTGACAGCAGCTGTGGTTTGAGCATCTTCGACCTCCTCGGTGCCAGGCAATGTTGCTGCATCCACTGAGTGATGTGAAGTGAAGGTGAAATCTCATTTTCATAGCCCTGACTTCGAAGTCAGAAATAAAACTGGTAGACCCACTTCCTGCTGCTTTTAGGAGCAGTTGAGGACCCGAAAATATAGTCGAAGATCTTTGAGCAACAAGAAGTACATAAACCAGGATTTAGAGCGGTCCGAAAGTAGGTAATGAGCAGTTTGCATACCAGTGGAAGACCAAAAAATACAGGCGCCGGGCAGTACGTAAAACTCAACAAAGAAACCTGAATAAAGAGTGTTTGATAGAGTCAACTGGAGTTTCTTTTCTCTTTGAGATCCGCAGTACAAGTTATTGTTCCGGCACATTACTGGTAGACTAACTTCGTCCAATTTTAAGGCTAGTTGAGGATGAGGAGGATGAAAATGTCGAGCTCCTAGAACCAAAAAGTACAAGCCCTCAGGCATTGGTCCTACACACTGAGTAGAGAAATATTTTCTCTTAATATAAAGAACTTAAAAGCCGTAAGGACTGACTGAAAGACCAACTTTCTCCTGATTGGAGGTTAGTTGAGCAGCAAAAATTGTACTCTCGGACCGTTGAAATGCAAGAAGTTCATAAACTGTGTCTCCAGAATATCCAAAAGTAAGCAACATAGCATTTTGGTTTACTTCGGACGCCAATAAAGGAGCCGAAATTAGAGTCGAGGTACGACGAAGAGCAAGAAATATGTAAACTAGGATGCTTTAGGATCAGTAAGCTGAAAGTGCGCAAAAAACAGAGACTCGTTGTGACTCGTTAAGCGTTACATAAACCCTCGCAGTGAGAAAAGTTGTTTTATGATGCCCCAAGCAAGTAATCTCCTAGAAAACTCTGGGAACTTACACCGATATACAGCAAACTCGAAAGAAATTTGTATTTTTGTGTCAAATACTCGGATCAGAATGTTCAGCTCGCTCTGAGAGAGCAGAAAAATATATACAGCCATCGAGCTGACTCCTAGAGATAGCAAGCGGTGACTAAAGTCCAAAAACTACCTCGACAGTCGCATTTTTATGACAAAACTAGCCGGATTTCTGGCCAACGAAGGACTTTGATACACGCAACATTCGTTAAAAATCATTTTAGCGAATTAATTTTGCAGTTACAATAACAAAAACAGCCCCTATTCTATTAGAACAAGGAAAGTTTGAGCCAGGAAAGATCTACTCGAATAAGCTTAGCAACATAGAAGCAGTCGTGATAGTTACTTTGGTGGAACTTTTCCTTCTACTGACGTGAGTGCAATGGAAAGTTAAGAACTTAGTTCCGGCCGACCGCACCTAAGCCATTTTCATACCTAACAGAGAGTTTTCAAGCCAAACTAGGAAGAAGATCGACCTCAGGTAATAGTTCGAGGATACTGAATAGTACAAAGAGAACGACTCTTTTTCAAGCTAATCAACCATTGAGACACAACTCGTACGTTAGAGCGAATTGCAGAGCGACATCTAGATACAAATGCAGCTTATGAAAGCTCATCAGCCTCCAAGAGCGAGCTTAAGCAAGGAGAGCTTTCGATTTCTCTATAATTATCAAGCAAATGGCCAGCTTTATCTAACATCTCTCTGCAGCTTCGCTCTCTCTGTCAATCAATCAATCAATTGATAAATAAAGAAATTTTTCTTTATCATCAAAATAATACTATTTTCACTTATGCCCTTTACCGGACAAATAAAAGAGATCATAAATGTATTAATTTCTGATAAAAGTCATTGAAAACCGACAGACAATAACTCACTTTCTTCGCTTGGAAAGTGAGTAAAGGGAAAAAAAAAGTGGTGAACCGCAGAATGTTGAGCGATTGAACAGCAAAGGGCTTTCACATGAATGACTTGCTTAAGAAGTTGGCATTTATTATAATTTTTTTTTGTTAATGTTAGTTTTAACTATTTTCTTCCATTTCTTCTCTGCTTGCAATTGCGCGGCGTTACAATTTCTAGCAGCCAACATGAGGAGCCAATAATGAAAACCACACCCACCACAAAATGAACCCATGGAAGGCAAGTAGTGGGTACTATGTACGTATGGGGTTATTGGCGCTGGATAGATAGCACGTTATTGTTGTTGTTTTTAAAGACATAAATATTTTTTCTCTAAGCATTTGATCGTTCGCTCGTCTCTCCACTCGACGGCTGGGGTTTATTGACTTTTCATTTGATAATTTTTGTTTTAATGAGATGAATACCCATGAGTATATATATATATATATATGTAGATATATAGGTATATATATATATGTAAATGCTGATGATATGTTTTTACTATTGGTCCTTAGAGCACTTGCAACCATTAGTTAGCGTAGCTAGCTTATAAAGACGTACACATATGAGCACATTCGTTAATACATACACAGATTTATTGTACATAGAAAAATCGCCCTTTTGCTTTGGATAAAAGGATTTTTTTTACTTCTCAGCTCTTTGCGCTTTGATAGCTTTGAAAATATGATTACATTTCACTTTTCAACTATGCGTACGTTTCTCTCTCCCTCTGCTTCCCTGCCTCTTTCTCTGCTGGCATATGTACGCGCTTCGGTAGCCTCCGTGTTTAGGGATTTTCACTTTTACTAGCAGTTTGCGACTGCAATGCCCAAAGGAAATCAAAAGGAGATTGCTTTTTGTAATTTGGAAAAAAATTGTTTTTGGAACAAAAAATATGTGAAATTGTTAACACAAAGACATATGCAGATCAGCGTGTAATTTGGAGACGCCTGAGGCACTTTGAAATAAATAAGATCCATTTTTGATTATTTTGGCCAATGATTTTTAACAGCAAAATAGTATTTTGGATAAATAAAAAAATTGCAATAAAACAACTATTAGTCTATTTTATGTATTTAGTAAAGAATTGTTTTTGAAACAAAAACATTTTACAGTTGCTTTCCGTTTTTTAGGACACATTCCAGTAGCCTTAAAATTAATGAGGTAAACACTTTCCCTGCGATCTTTAATATCCAAGAGATGTGCCATTGGCGCTTGCTTGATTCAGTCGATTTCTTCAAAGGATGGACATTCAGGTGGGTTAGGCTATTCGATAAAAACGAGCAATCCAAGTAGAGGTACTTTTTCAGTAGTCTTTTTTTGACACATAACGCGTGAGTCGTGCCAAGCTGTCATCTTATTTCTGTTCAGTATTGTTTGGCATTTCATGTTCGACCGAATAGACCAGAAGAAAATATAACAGCCGTAGCTGAGAGTGTACACGAAGACCGCTGAGAGTCGATTTGCCGCCGTTCGCAGCAACTCCGACCGATGTATGGAACGACTTGGCGCATTTCACGTCGGGATCTTAAATTGAAAGCGTACGAAATACAGCTTGTGCAAGAAATGAAGCCGCTCGACCTTCTCAAATTACAGCACTTAGTTGTATTGGTCCTGGGAAAGTTCCAAGAAAAATTTTGGGCCAATTTTGGTCAGAGATGAGGCCCGTTTCTGGCTCTTCATGGATAATGAAACAAGCAATATTGCCGCAATTGGAATGAAAAGTAGTTTGAGGAGATTAGCGAGCTCACATTTTAAACAGGAAAAAACAAAGGTGTCTTGTGATTTGTGGGTCGATGGAATCATCAGTCCATATTTCATCAAAAGTAATGTCGATGAGAACTTAACCGTCTATGGCGACTATTATTGCGCCATAACATCCGACTATTTTATGCCTGAAGTGGAAGCTCGAAATCTCGGTGACATTTGGTTTCATCAAGATAGCGCCACATCCCACACATCGCATCAATCAATGGATTTATTAAGAGTACACTTCGATGAATAGATAATTTCCCATTTTGGTTAGACCGCTTGGCTACTAAGCTATAAAACCGTTAGGCTTTTTACTTTGGGGATATGTAAAGTCTAAAGTCTTTGCAGTCAATCTGGCTTCGATTCAAGCCTTGGAGCAAACCATCTCGCGTGTTCTGTACTAGATTCCAATCGAAATGCGTCGAACAAGTCATTGAAAATTGTACTCAATGGATGAACCATCTGAGACATAGTCGCGGCCAACATTTGAAAGAGATAATCGCAGAAAAATAAATACCAAAAAATGTTCTTTCGAATGATAATAAACATTCCCGTTTAAACTTGAAATTTCTTTGTTTTTTTTTTATTTTATTTAAAAAAGTAGGGAACCTCGAAATGGTTCACCTTTTAATTGCAGACTTAAGCTCATCTGTTTCGTCATATTGTCGTTTATTCGCATTAGCTCTTCTCACCGTTCTCTATGGGATTTAGGTTCGGAAAGGAGGTCGCACAGTCCATGATTTCTTTAGGTCAATTAGCCAAAAATCGTCTCGTTATCCTTATGACTCTTGTGTCTGAATTTCACGGTTCGAATCTCGATGCAGTAAATTTTTATTTTAATTTTTATTTTTATTTTTATTTTTATTTTTATTTTTATTTTTGGTAAGCAGACATGCCTAAATGAATTAGTATTTAACTAGTATTAAGCTGATGCATGCACGGACAGTTGACAGTTCTTATAAAAATCGCCGCGTTAAATATATCAGTTGTTTGTTGCGACATCTAGGTTCCAATGCAGCTCATAGAAGAATGCGCTGATTCAGTGAGGAATCGGTACACACCACTTTGCTCGTCTTCAGGTGGGTATTTGTCATACGGACTTCTTTCTTTTTCTCCCTCTCCCTCTCCCTCTCCCTCTCCCTCTCCCTCTCCCTNCACACACACACACACACACACACACAAGCTTACTAGCTTCACTATGCGTTTCCTAATGATGCGTCAATGACATTTGACAGCTGTGACAATCAAGCAATGAGGGACTGCTAAATTCAATTGACATATGGCGAAGGGAGAAGCTCTCTCGGTTGCTGTGAACTTAAGCTTAAGGGCTGCTCAATTTAATTTTTTTGTTTTTTCTCATTTATGATAATTTTAAGATTTCTTTCCTTTGCACTTACCAGTATTCTGTGTTGTTCCATCACCTCCTCCACCAGCGCCGCTACCACCACCGCCGCCGCCTATGTTACCGCTATTACTGCACTCATTTATATTTGGCACCGATAAAGGTGTTGATGTGAGTTGTTGTTGCTGTTGCTGATGTTTAACGTTAGACATTGTATGACAATCGGGTAATGACATTGGACCCGTCGCGTTGCTACTACAATTGGCTCCGTCCACAACATCTAAGGGTGGAGAGTTCTCCCGCACGCAGGACATAAGACTCGCCGACATGCTGTGGCGTCTGGAAAGAGAGAAAAATTAATATGTGTAAGCAAAAAATATGGTGTTAAGAGAGGTAAGAATATAGGGATTTGTATAAATATTATTGATCTAGGATCTAACCAAAATATTTCTTTTAGCCGAGCCGAGCAGAGAGGCTGACTTCGCAGTTCAAACGAATTTGTTTTAAGTGAAGACGTACAAGGAGCTCGTACCCAGAAATCTCCTCCTCCTCTCTACTTGTCGAACTTTGAACTGTGTGCTGAGAAAGGTCTTGAGCAGTCCCCAGCCGACGTACGGAAACCAATATACGAAGTAGAAGTTTAAAAACCCAGACCAACGATGTGATGAACTGTCTCGAAGCTTCGGTATTTCGGCGACAAAAGACTTTCGAAGACATGATGTAGGAGAGATGCATACTTTTAATGAAGAGTTTTCCGTGTAGCGAAATATGCGGACTCGACAGGAAATCGGATAAAGGGAGAGCCTAACCAAAGTAGGCTCCACTAAGCAAAACTTTGTTGGACTGGCCTAAGCTCGTACCTGGGGTATCAAATCTTCCAGATTCGAGCTGATAACAGTTAAATCGAAGGTAGAAAAAACACTTGTTCAAAGAGCAAACGGTTAACGAGAGTTAGGGATTCCTCAAATTATATTCAAGCAAGCAAAACTTTACTGGACTTGCCTTGACTCAGTTCGAGCTAATCGATACCAGTTGTTTAAGTCATGAGCTCGAACATTCGTTGAGAGTAAACCTTTTGTACCATTTGCAACTCATCTCACGCTTGTTTAACTTTCCACATCCATCTTCTGATTTTAATTCGAAATCTTAAGCTTTCATCACTTGACGGCGAGTAACGCCTCAACACCCTCAATCAAAAGCAAACACTCGAGCGCAATTAATAATGAGGATTTCCGAAACTCTCTCTCGCCCCTTCTTTCATTCACTCTCTCTCTCTCCCTCTCTATTTAACTCTTGTATATCCAAGGCGTAGCTAACTGTGCGGGTATTAAATGTCAAACTAAATTATCCTTCAATTAACATTTCCGCTCCGTTGGCTTTCGCTGACTTTGCAAATAACGGTATATTACATATGTGCTCATTTATATTTGCAGCAATTAAAGATTGACACATGACACGACCGACGCGACGCGACGCGGCACAACGCGAGGCATCCTTTAATCCCACGCGCACGAGACGAAAGCCCGGATAAAGAGCTGCCAGCGGACAAGCAAAGGTCGCGTAGTCGGTTCATATAGAGGCAGGGGTGTCTTCACAAATATAAACACATGAAAACATTAATATTTTGCTCTGTTACGAGTATGTCCTCATGGTGTTGACAAGACGGATCTCACCCATCCAGAGAGTCGGTTGTTGAAGAGGTGAAAGGCGAGCGGCCTGTCGAGCTGGCGCGTCGCGTTTTGGAATGTTGAGTTAATTAGCAAAAGTATATTAATACGCCCGTGTAACGGTAATGTGACCAGAGTAGCGTACCACAACGTCGCAGCAAGCCCTCAGCTCCGCACTCGTGCGTAAGGCAACGCGGCTGATACAAAGGACATTTGAGTAAACTAGCGCAACCGGCGCAAGGTAGATACATACCAGCACATACTCGTACATACCTACATACGGGTGGCTTTTGTAAATATTCCTGTGTGTGTGTGTGTGTGCTGGTTTGCTTTGGAAAATGTCAATTTGGCAAATGTATAAATTAGTAGATGAGCTGCGGTTTGATAGATATGTGGTTGCGGAGATAAAATTTATTTATTTAGAAATATTGACATACATATATATTATGTAGTACAAAGACACACTAAATGCCATGTAGAGCGATGAAAGAATGCCGGAAATGTGTATGGACTGGTCTACATATTCAGTGGACCGACCTAGATGATTCCGACTAATCGAAAAATCTCAGACAAGACTGCTCACTGGGAGCTGCACATACTGAGACCGCGAACTGGATCCTCTGAGGCGGAGAGCATCACCATGTAAAACTCTTTTCTTCTACTTAGTCAAGGACTGCGGCTGGCGGTGTTCTTCTTTCATCAGCCTCTCCATCTCGCCTGCAGAACTCGCTACCTCGACCAGACGTTTTATGAACACTTCAGCTAAAACTCCAGACCTAAGAAAACAAGACCTTGAGCTCTTTTGGTTTAACAGCTGAAGACCTCAGAAAGCATTAGCTGCTGTGAAGTAAAATGAATTTGGACTTCTTCGACTTCTTCACCGAAGAAAACCACCATCCTCTTGAACGAATTATATAAAGTCGGCGATTCGGATCGGGGGGAAACAAGGAGCTGAGTCTGAGATGTGGTGTGGAGAACAGGTTTTAGATAGAGGTCGAGCAAATGAAATATTCTTGTCATCTGCCAGCACTGTTTCGGAAGACGCTTGTTCCAGCTAATAAGAGATATAAATATTGTTAAGCAGTCGGAGTCGGAAGAATGTAGACTGTTAACGAGTGCACAGAAGATGAGTCTCCTAACCAGATATTAGATGCCAAACTCTTTTATGGACTGATTAACACTTTGTGGTCTCACACTCTGACTCCTCAGCCAACATTTTATTCGAGTTTTTCTCTAAAAATCGATTTCAATTGAGGTCTTTTGAACGAAGATTATTCAGTATCTTCTTGTCTTACCCTGATTGAAACTCTTAAGGATTTTCTGAGAAGTATAAGAAAGGCAAGTCTCCTACTCATGAAATAGACGTCGAAAAGTTGACCCCTCGAACGGAACCCACATTTTATTAGGTTCTTTTTCTGGAAAACTCTTACTAAGGAGCTCAGTTCAGACAACCTCTTCTTGTCTTTCCTTATCAAACCTCTTTCCTTATCTGGAAAGTTAAGGATTTGATAGGCAGTTAAGGAGAGGCAAGTCTCCTACCTAGGAATCAGATGTCGAAAACTTGTAAGGTCTCCTCAACACTTTCCAGTCTCATGCTCTGACCCCTCGGAGGGAGCCAACAGTTTATTCGATTTTTTTCTCTGAAAAACTATTATAAAGTACATCAGTGGAGCGAAGATAAGGCAACCTACTCCTGCCTTTCCATAATGGAACACCTTTTTTGCCTGGAAAGCATCGGAATTGTTGACGAGTACACAAAAGACGAGTCTCCTACCCAGAAATTAGATACCGAACACTTGTGAGGTCAGCGAAAAACTATGGTGAGACCTTCGTGGAGGTCAAGGCATTCTTCTACCATACCCTAATCGAAAATCTGTTCTAGTTTGGAAAGAGTAGAAATTATTGGCGAGTGAAAAAGCGTCTCTGCCCACTGACCACTCGGTGGTAGCCCACATATTTTCGTATTTTTGGTATATAAAACTTTTAACTCGAAGAAATCGCATAAAGAACCTTAGTAAAAGACTACAGCAACGCGATGACAATACCTTGTTTTCACACTTTCCAAAATACTCTCTAGACTGGGAACTACTGGATTCCATTGATGTTTTGAAGGTCAGCGAATACAAAGAGTTCCGAGGAACCAAATCGGAAGGTCTATTTAAAATTCACAGTAAGGGATGCTACCTTTAGTTTAATGTCAAATAGTACAGAGATCTTCAAAGAACCAAGTCGGGTGATGTATTTGGATACCATATCAGAGTATTTTCATTATTTTGGGTAGAGATTTGTCGCCTGAACCACCTACTCCGACGCTCCACTGAGCGCTTTTTGCTGCTCTCTTCCAGAAGAAAATCGCTTATCGAGCTGATTTGCTTTAGAAGCCGACCAAAAGTTGCTAGATAGCTTAAAAATAGAGCACCACTCAGAACCCAAAATCCATTACCGTCTCAGTCTTTAGTTTGCTGTGAGCCCTCAGAGATTTGGAAGCCCCACTATTGCTAGAAGGAATATAAATATTCAAGCAACCTGGCAAATTTCACTGCATAAAAGTACAAAAGTCTCTTCACAACAACACCCTCAACCAGTTTAACTGCCTTCCATCATTGTTATGTGCTCGATGGCATCATTGTGCAGACATTTATGGAGAATTTCAATAATGAGTTCACTTCTTTCTACTTTATCCAAGCACTAGTACTTCCAGCCACAAGCAATTGGAACGCCCGTCGCGCCAAATAATGTGACAAATACATAGATAAAACGAAGCACATACACACTGGCACACTGCGCCGTCGATGAGCATGCAACTTGGCGCTTTTTATTAATTAATTAATCAACCAGCTTCAACTGGAATGTTGGCTGCGGCAAACCAGAAAAAAAGTAGTAGAAGAAAGAAAACGAAATATGCCTGCTCTGCTTGACTATTTTGTACTTGTTGTTGTTGTTGTTGTGTTTGTTTTTGATGGCCGCAGATGAGTAGGGTACTCAACACTTACACTTCCATATGTACATACGAGTATATATGTACACATGACAGTCTGTCCGTTGAGTGCTCTGGCATTTTCTGCTGACATTTGTCTATCGTTGCCGCCTCAGTTGGCTTTGCTTGTGGCATTGTGGCGTTGTGGCAATGTCATGGCGAAATTAATTGAAATTGAAATTTATATGAATCAACAGTTTATTAACCACTTGCATTGACATTGTGCAATGAAAAATGTGAGGGAAGTTCATTTGCCGCGACCAAAAGCTGTCAAGGGAAATAAATAAAAAAAAATGCTGCTGTGAGTGCAGGAATTTATATTTTTTTTTTTATAAAAAAAATTTCACAAGATAAACCACAATGAATAAAATAAACTAAATAAAATAATATCAAAAATAAATTTAAATAAAAAAAGAAAAATTAAAAAAAATATAAAATAATATGCGGAAAATAAAATAAAAGAGAATCAAATGAAATAAATTAAAATATTAAATAAATAAATATTAAATAAATTAAATAAAATATAGATAAAATTAAAAAATTAAAATAAAATTAATATACTTTAAAAACTTTAAAATAAAATAAAATGAAATAAAAAAATTAAATAAATTCAAATAAAATAAAATAAAATAAAACAAATTAAAACTATATATAATTAAATAAAATAAAAAAAATTAAATAAAATAAAACAAAAT